TATACAAAGTGAAGAGAATGAAGGAGTCTATGATGAATGTCAAACATCACCTGATGATGTTTATGAGCGTATGCCACAATAAATGTATGTACTAGAATTACTTAATATACTAAACGTGACTCATTAAACATTTTTCACTAGTTATAGTGCAGCAATTAATTTTGTTTTATATATAGTCATACATTACTTAGTCTATGTGAAAAAAAGAGAACACAATTTTATGAGTATATTTAATAGTCACTGTGTAGTCTTGTGGTCTTGTGGATGTGGCACAAGATCTGATTTTAGTAATTTGCATGTACTGATCAATCCTCCTATCTTCATTTCTTGACCATTTAAAGGGAGAGAGAGAGAGAGTACATGTATATGCAGTTAATAGAAAGACTTATACTTACCAAGATTCCATTCTAGTCAGTGGTTCAGTATTAATCACATGATTCTTCTAATGGTATTATTCCACAATGACTTTCTACCAACTCTGAACTGATACATGTATGCATGTGTTGATATAGTTGCTTCAAAATTTACCAAACACCTTGTACTATTGTTTAGGGGTGAATCCTACTTAGTAAAGCTACCGCGTTGCTAATAGTACAGGATATTTTGTCAAAAATAAAATTCTCTTTTACAATTTTTAATGCATAATACTTGTTTTCCATTTTGTATGAAAAGTTTGAGATGATTTTGATCACATTTGAACTTTTCAAAAAATCCCATTCTATAGCAGTATAACAACTGTGTCCTTTATCAAATTTCTCTAAAAAAGAAAAAGGAGAATATAATTTTCCTGATAGGTATACATGTTTTGTGTTGTATTTTAATGTTGAGCTGATTTCAATTGCATTTAGAATTCTTATAATTTTTTAACTTGCTTTAAAGTTGGACCAAAGTCCATTTACTGTAGTGCAGGGCCCTTGGTCAAATTTCACAAAAAAATAAAAACGAGAATTCTTCATTTTTATAATTTCCGTCATACGTGCATAGAGCTACATGTTGTTATGTTGTGTTTCAATTTTGAGCTGATTCCAATCAGATTTGAATTTTTGCAATTCTTAAACTGCATACATACCGGTTTGAAGCTTGGGTTTGGTGGGTGTGGCTTCTACCTTCTGATGGAGGAATAAACGGAGATATTCAAACGTATCCTGAAAACACGTGTAGTGAAATGGATCTTAATTCTTCTGATTCTCACCTTTTTGAGTATTCTGAACTGGAGGAATGGCATGAAAATAGAGAAAGGCCAGAAACATGTTTAAAGGCAAGGAAACTATTGGGCCACTAAATTAGAGTCCATATTTATTTTCACTTTTTATATTTCAGATGTCAGTATACATTATTATTATTATTATTATTATTATTATTATTATTATTGTTATTATTATTATTATTAATTTTTTTACTGCAGTTGTTAGTAAATGAGCTTATCAAAGAGGGTAAAATTAATATGAGGACAGTAATGAGTGGTGATCAGTCTTGTGATTTGTATTGGCTTTGTCATCTACAAGAAAAGAAGGTACAGTAACTTGATCATTTGTTAGAGCTAAAATTAAATGCCAGTCATCATAGCAAATTTAGCATTACCGTCGTTATTATAGAACCATTGTAGTTGAACATATAGCCACATACATTTAAATATACTGCATGTAGCATGTACATGTACATACATATTTTAGTTTTGCATGACTGTTGTGGCCCATTTCACTAAGCAATTGCCAGTATAAAAAGCCATCATTTTAATTTCATTCTGAGCACATGTGATGTTAAATTGCCAATATGAAATCTGCCAATTGCAATTTTTTTTACAAATCATCAGACATACAAAGTAACTCCTATTAATGTTGCTGTACAGTATGTACATGTACATTTATTAAGAATATCACACAAATTGGGGATGAGTAAAAATGGCCATAAATTGAAAACTTACAATCGGAATTATCTCAAACTTGCTAGATAGCATAAGGTGATCAATATGCATCAGAAAATGTAATAAATTGAGGGTGATTTTAGAACCATTTTTGGAAAAAACCACGGGCTACTTTTTAATATTTTAAAAGGGCTTATACATGTAGCTCCAAAATTTTGTGTCAGGCAACATACATCAGAGTGACCCTTATTTTTACAGTATCACTGGCCAAGCTATATAAGCCAAAAATTGCTCTGAAACCAACCTGAATTTTATATCATTTCCATGCTACATTGAGACACCACTTTTATTAAGTGAAACAAACTGAGGACATTAAAGGATCATCAACTAAGAGTAATAGATCACAACAGAAAAGACAAAGTCATTCGAAATTTATTCCTCCTCGATCAGCTAAAAAACTTAAGACAATAGACACAAGCACTTATACTTCTGTTGCATCTACAAGTACTGGTGATCATTCTAAAGAAACTTTGATAGAACTAAGCAAAGAAAAGAAACAGTTGATGGAAAAGCTCCAGGAGAAAGAAAATAAATTGCAGAAGCTTTGTTTGGTCAAGTTATATAGGACAAAGGTCAGTCTTTTGTCTAATATACTACTGTATAGTGTAGCTGGGCTGTAGAATGTTATGTATATTTAAAAGTGATGATAATTTAGATGATTAAATTCATACTGATGCACATCATTAAATTTTAATCTATCCAGTAATGTTTAAGTATTATAGTGTCACTCATTTTCATATTGTAGAATGATTTGACTCAGTTGGAGGGCTTGATTTCAAAATGGCGGTCAGTCAGTCAAGAAGCTGCACAAGCTTTACTTGAACACTCTCCTACTAGCAGACCAACCCCATCAATGACTGAACTATTAGGCTACCTATCCATTAGCCCAGATATAATACATTATGACACTGAAGATGAATCATTCTATTAATTCTAAAATAGACAAAATTAATAACCCAAATCTCACATATTGACTGTTCTATGTTCAAATATGAACATACTTTGTACATATACATTTACTTGTCATTGTAGTTCGTTTTTCCTGGTTGTATAATGATGACAACATGACTTCTTCAATACTAATAAACACCAGCCATTGGGTATGTACATACCAGTATGGTATCTGCTTGTCTATCTCTTCCTGCAGTACCAAATGGTCTAACTGTAATGTCAAATCTACAAAATCTTAATTGAAGAGGTGTGAATGTACAGTTTTAAAAATGTAACCAGGAAAGTGACAAGCTGCAAATGATTTTAATCATATTTATGTTGTGATGTACATGTACTAATATACTGTCTGCAAACCTGTCCGTGCAAAGGGGCAGGTATACTGACTAATTCTAATGTTAACTGACATTTTGTCATCTCTTATACGCATCTACTTGTGCATGTCTTAGATACAAAACTTAAGTGATATGCATGTACTTTGTCACAGTAAACATGTTATTTTTTTGAATTGTCATAGCTTATTTAAAGGGAAGGTCAACAAATTTTAATGGTAACACTGACATGTAATGCACTTTACTTATGTAAAAGAAAACTGTCTTTAATTTAATAAAAATAACAGTAGACTAATTTGTATACTTTTTATACTATTGTTAAAATGGCATTGTCAGTATCAGTGGTGATTTTGCTCTTCTTGTTGACTGTTAGTGAAGTTATTAGCCAATGTCCACCTTCCTCAGGTAAGACACTGGATGTGTATAACAATTTTATAGTTTTGTATAGGTATCTATTTGAGGCATAATGGAAACTGTTATTCTAATGGATCATATTTTTGGGATCTTAGTATCAGATGGGCTCCACTAGAGTGTGTATCACCTGGTGCTACTCTGAATGGTGGACAATGGATTGGTCCTAATGGAGTAGTTCCTTGTGATGGTGGTAACAATTCAAATGTTCAATGTACTACTGAGTCAGGTGCTAGTCTCAGTGTTTTTATAAATCCAGCTAATGGCTATCTTGAAGCACCTGATGATGGCTGGTACAAGTGTTGTCTACCCACTAATTGTTCAGATCCTAACACTAACATCATCTTTGCTAATATATTCAGTAAAATATGCTAAACAACTCTTTTTGAAATTAATCTTTATTTATACATAGGTTTTGCACAGACAATATCATTTTTTATTTCTGATCTTCCTTCTGATATGACAGTATATCCTCAGGAATACAAACTGAATTGTATTAAAATTGGACACTATGAATATGGTATTAATATGAGCATTGGCAGTACTGCACTTGCTAGTTACACTAACTGTGATGATGTTAATAATCCTTGTCCTGGTACTGTGTTAGTTAGTGATATGAACACAGTAATATATACTGTTAATATCACATGGGATGGAATGACTGTCAGTAGTGGATCAATCAGTCAATCAACCACTGGAGATCAAATGTATCAGTGTGTACTAGATAATCCTAGTGGGGGTAATGATAGAACACATACTTTAACCATAAAAGGTAATGATAAGGATATACTAATATCTTAGTACATATGTCTCCCTATATTAGTACCAGCAACTGCTCCCTCTTCTCTTACTGAGGTCAACAAGACAGCTACCGCTATCACTGTCAGTTGGACTGCACTTGATTCATCTGATGCTGATGGATATGTAGTTAATGTCACTAGTGACACAGACACTGTGCGACAGTACAGGTGGAGGGAAGTAGTAATAATACAATCACACTGAATGGACTGAGAGGAGGAACAACTTATAGCATCACAGTCAGAGCCTATCAACAATTACTCGGACCTGCTACTACAATCAGTGTACAGACCTTACCAGGTATTGCTACTGCACCTTTTAATGTACTTGTAACATTGTTGATGTATTTCTAGTTATTAATTCAATCAATTGGACACTAGTCTCATCCATTACACAACTCATTAACACTCAATATCGTATTGATTGTCTCACAACTACTGATATAAATCCTTCAACTGATGTTTACTGGTTAGTGAATGGAGTGATGAAGAGTAACTCAATGTATACATCAATTGATGTCCTGACATACAACAACACACTACTGGTATATCCTAATCCACTGGGAGTGTCAGTTAATGTTACCTGTATAGCAATGATTGGGGGAGTCAACTACAGTCAATTTGTGATATTACATGGTATGATTATACTTTAATCAATAGTAGATACCTTTATCTTTTAGCTCCTAGTGGTCCTCCAAATAATGTGAGAGGGTTTATATTTAATACTACTAGTATCAAAGTGAACTGGACCAATTCATCAGAGACTAATGATATGTGATTGAGTATACTACTGGAGGTGTAACCAGGAATGTAGTATCTACCAGTGAAGATGAAATTGTACTAACAGATCTCTCACCAACGAGTATCTATACTATCAGTGTGTACTCATATATAGATCTTCCATCAGTGAATAGTACAGTAACAGTGTTAAGATTTGATGGTGAGTTATTATCATTGAGAGAGTGTAATTTATGTCCATTCTAGTTCCTAGTCCAGTAACTAGTCTCTCAGTATCTAATGTCTCAACCACTGGTATTACAGTGAACTGGACTATTCCCAGTAGTGACAACTATGTAACATACTACACCATCTCCTATACTCCATCTTGTCCCCAGTTATCATCAGTGAATGAGACAGTCTCTGTTGCTCCTCATCAGTCCACTACAACATACAGTTATACATTAATAGGCCTGTACAGTGGTATGAACTATACCATCACAGTGAGAGCTCGTAATGTACTAGGAGGATCTTATTTAAGCAGCACATTGGTACAAACTGAAGCGAGAGGTACTAATACTTAGCATGTCAGTAATTGATTGGATTCTAGTTTTACTTCTCAGTTCCTAGTGGTTTACCATTGTCAATTCAAGTCTTACTAGTTAATTCTACAGCTAATAGATTCACTTGGAATGAGGTTAATTGTTCTCAGCGTAATGGTCTAATCACAGGCTATACAGTGATGATCAGTAACAGTAGTATCACATACAACCTCACCAGTACTGAGAGATATATCATATTGAATGATCTAGTATTTGGTACTGAGTATAACATCAGTGTAGCTGCTGTTAATTCTGTTGGAAGAGGTCCCTTCAGTGATCCTATTGTAGTAGAGATTGGAATAGGTATGTAATTATTATACTATATCAGTTCTGTGAGAATGTGTCTTTATTTAGTACCTGGTCCAGTTGGCTCAGTATCCAGTATCATGGACACTACATGGGCTGTTATCTCATGGAGTGTACCTAGTTATATTCCATCAGACTATCCCATTATCACATATGAGATAGGATATCATATCTTACAGTCTGATAACTGTTTGATGATAAATTATGATGACTTTAATGCTGAAATACTACAACTACGTAACTCAACTAATACATATATCAACATTACTGGTCTTAATGATATGTCTTACTTTATTTTTGTCTTGTTATGTTTTTGGTGTACGTGCATACACTGTTAATGGATATGGAGAATGGACAGTTATTGCTAATGAGACACTAAAACTACCACTACAATTATCATCTAACTCATCTACATCAGACAGTGTCATTGCTCTTAGTGTGTTAGTGGGTATATTGTGTGGTCTACTAACTGTCAGTGTTGTTGTTCATATCTACTGCTTTTTAAGGTATAGTTTACATTCTTTTATATTTAATTGTTATTGTTATTCTTATAGAAAGAAAAGTCCGTCTACTTTTAATAAGCAAACAAAGTTAGTTTATTTTATAACTTTAAGTTATTCACTACTTTAATAGAGCTGATGATGATATTGCAATGCAAGTATGTGAACCATATGAAATTCACAAGACTAAACAAAGTGAAGAGAATGAAGGAGTCTATGATGAATGCCAAACATCACCTGATGATGTTTATGAGCATATGCCACAATAAATGTTTGTATTAAAATTACTTAATATACTAAACGTGACTCGTTTTTCGCTAGTTATAGTGCAGCAATTAATTTTGTTTTTTATATAGTCATACTTAGTTTATGTGGAAAAAAGAGAATACAATTTTATGAGTACCCCAATAGTCACTGTGTAGTCTTGTGGTCTTGTGGATGTGGCACAAGATCTGATTTTAGTAATTTGCATGTACTGATCAATCCTTCTGTCTTCATTTCTTGACCATCTAAAGGGAGAGAGAGAGAGAGAGAGTACATGTATATATATATATGCAATTAATAGAAAGACTTATCAGTACTTACCAAGATTCCATTCTAGCCAGTGGTTCAGTATTAATCACATGATTCTTCTAATGGTATGATTCCACAATGACTTTCTACCAACTCTCAACTGATACATGTATGCATGTGTTGATACAGTTGCTTCAAATTTACCAAACACCTTGTACTATTGTTTGGGGGTGAATTCTACTTAGTAATGCTACCGTGTTACTAATAGTACAGGATATTTTGTCAAAAATAAAATTCTATATTAAAACTTTTTATGCATAATACTTTTTTTCCATTTTGTATGAAAAGTTTCAGATGATTTCGATCACATTTGGACTTTTCAAATTTCAGGCAAAAATCCCATCCTATAGCAGTATAACGGTGTCCTTTGTCAAATTTCTCTAAAAATGAAAAAGGAGAATATAATTTTCCTGATAAGTATACATGTTTTTGTGTTGTATCTTAATTTTGAGCTGATTTCAATTGCATTTAGAATTTTTATATTTTTTTAAAATTTGCTTTCAAAGTCCATTTACTAGTGCCGTACAGGGCCCTTGGTCAAATTTCACAAAAAAATAAAAACGAGAATTCTTCATATCCTTCATACATACATAGAGCTACATGTTGTTATGTTGTGTTTCAATTTTGAGCTGATTCCAATCAGATTTGAATTTTTACAATACTTAAACTGCATGCATACCGGGACATCACTTGGAAGCTTGGGTTTTGTGGGTGTGGCTTCTGCAGTCTGATTGAGGAATAAACGGAGATATTCAAACGTATCCTGAAAACACGTGTAGTGAAATGGATACTGGAGCAGAGCTCCTCAGTCCTGGCCTATCTTAATTCTTCTAGTTCTAATTCTCACCTTTTTCAATATTCTGAACTGGAGGAATGGTATGAAAATAGAGAAAGGCCAGAAATATCTTTAAAGGCAAGGAAACTATTGGACCACTAAATTACAGTCCATGTTTATTTTCACTTTTTATATTTTAGATCTACACTGTTATTATTATTATTAATTTTTTTCACTGCAGTTGTTAGTAAATGAGCTTATCAAAGAGGGTAAAATTAATATGAGGACAGTAATGAGTGGTGATCAGTCTTGTGATTTGTATTGGCTTTGTCATCTACAAGAAAAGAAGGTACAGTAACTTGATTATTTGTTAGAGCTAAAATTAAATGCCAGTCATCATAATAAATTTAGCAATACCATTGTTATTATAGAACCATTGTAGTTGAGCATATAGCCACATACATTTAAATATACTGCATGTAGTATGTACATGTACATACATATTTTAGTTTTGCCTGAGGTGGCCCAGTTCACTAAGCAATTGCCAATATAAAAAACCATCATTTTAATTTCATTCTGAGCACATGTGCTGTTAAATTGCCAATATGACTCTGCCAATTGCAATTTTTTTACAAGTTACCAGACATACAAAGTAACTCCTATTAATGTTGCTGTACAGTATGTACATGTACATTTATTAAGAATATCACACAAATTGGGGATGAGCAAAAATGGCCATGACTTGAAAATTTACAATCGGAATCAACTCAAACTTGCTACATAGCATAAGGTCATCAATATGTATCAGAAAATGTAATAAAAAATTGTGGGTGATTTTAGAACCATTTTTCAGATAAAACCACGGGCTACTTTTTAATATTTTAAAAGGGCTTATACATGTAGCTCCAAAATTTTGTGTCAAGCAATTTGTATCAGAACGACCTTTTTTACTTAATTTTTACTTTTATAAAACAGCATCACTGGCTAAGCTATATAAGCCAAAATTCCTCTGAAAACAACCTAAATTTTATATAATTCCCATGCTACATTGAGACACCCTGCCCCTTTTATTAGGTGAAACAAGCTGAGGACATAGAAGGATCTTCAACTAAGAGTAATAGATTGCAACAGAAAAGACGAAGTCATTCGAAATTTATTCCTCCTCGATCAGCTAAAATACTTAAGACAACAGACACAAGCACTTATGCTTCTGTTGCATCTACAAGTACTGGTGATCATTCTAAAGAGACTTTGATAGAGCTAAGTAAAGAAAAGAAACAGTTGATGGGTAAGCTCCACGAGAAAGAGAATAAATTGCAGAAGCTTCGTTTGGTCAAGTTATATAGGACAAAGGTCAGTCTTTTGTCTAATATACAACTATATGGTGTAGCTGGGCTGTAGAATGTTATGTATTTTTAAAACTGATGATAATTTAGATGATTAAATTCATACTGATGCACATCATTAAATTTTAATTCATCCAGTAACGTTTAAGTATCACTCATTTTCATATTGTAGAATGATTTGACTCAGTTGGAGGGGTTGATTTCAAAATGGCGGTCAGTCAGTCAGGAAGCTGCACAAACTTTACTTGAACACTCTCCTACTAGCAGACCAACCCCATCAATGACTGAACTATTAGGCTATCTATCGATTGGCCCAGATATAATACATTATGATACTGAAGATGAATCATTTTATTAATGCTAAAATAGCCAAATGATCCATATCTCACAAATTGACTATTCTATACTCAAATGTGAACATACCTATCATTGTAGTATAATTAGTATATGTACATTGTCTATCATTCACTATAATACTTTAGAGTTTGGGTTAGGGAGTAAGACACTGATAATGACAGCTTGAATACTATAAGCAATACGTACATACTATTAAAAAAATATAGATTTATGATATCCCTCAATTAAATGTTATGAAAAGAATCATCACTCAATAGTATGTATATATATTTAGCCGAAATGGTATATCTATTCTTGCCAACTCAACCTATGCTTGAATTTGAATAGTCTGAACTTTTCCAACTATATAGTTTGTCTTGTTGCAATGGCTCATTATTAGTACCATAATGAGTCAAAACAATATCCCTGGCCTATTGCCTCTATTTCCCCTCCAGGGCTTCAAGAATGATTCTGTGCAAGATCAGTTGGCCATCCCCATAACCATAAAAAAGTCCAATAATCAACCCCATAATTTTCAGTTACTATAGTGATACATCAGACAGTACTTGTGTTCTACTAACTGTCAGTGTGATTGTTCATATCTGTGTGCATGTAACAAGGTGTTATTTTTTACTATAGAAAAAAGTTTATGTACTAAGCAAACAAAGTTAGTCTATTCTAGATGTTATTGCACAAAATAATTATGATGAAAGATCTGATGATGATGATATTGCAATGCAAGTATGTGAACCATATGAAATTCACAAGACTAAACAAAGTGAAGAGAATGAAGGAGCCTATGATGAATGTCAAACAACACTTGATGTTTATGCTGTTGAAGTCGCTGTTGGGGTGACTTTATATTTTACGTAGTTACATTATTACATATATATAGTTTTGTAGGTTCATTTAAATTGTCTCTTTGTGTAGTTGTACAGTATTAAATAGTATACAATTTAAAAGCATAAGAATTCAATGGTCTCACTTTATGATGACAACTCTATAGCCATTTTTCATTAACTTTCTCTTGGCGTGAATGTAAGTTGACACTTAGAGACTGAGTCTGCTTCTATCTATAGATCTAATCCAAAAATTACAAATTTACAGATTGTATGATAAACATGATATAGTTTTGAAATATTACTTATCATAGCTTGTTTTAATGGAAAGTAAACGAACTTCAATATAGAGTAATGTTATTTTCAAAAGCAGAGGTAGAACAGCTAGATTCACCACTGTTGAAATGGCATTTTCAGTATCCTTGATGATTTTAGTCTTCTTGTTGAGTGTCAGTGAAGTTATTAATCAATGTCCACCTTCCTCAGGTAAGTCATTGGATGTGTATAATAACAACTGTATAGGTTTTTATAGGTATCTACCTGAGGCGAGATGGACTTTGTTATCCTAATGGATCATATTTTTGGGATAGTAGTGTCAATGCAGTTACTGAAGCTATATCATGTGTGTTACCTGGTACTAGTCTAACTACTGGTCAGTGGGTTAGAGTAGCTGATCCTGATGATCCTGTTAACTGTGACAATACTACCAATGATCCTTTTCGTTGTACTAATGTCACTTCACCTAATGCTACTCTCAATCTTTATCTTGCTCAGGGACTACCAGCAGTTCAAGAAGGCTGGTACAAGTGTTGTCTACCCACTGATTGTTCAGATCCTAACACTAACATCATCTTTGCTAATATATTCAGTAAGAAAAGACCATAATCACTTACTGATGTAATAATTTTTCATTTGTAGGATTTTCAGAAATAGAATCATTTACTGTTGCTGATCTTCCTTCTAACATGATAGTATATCCTCAGGAATACAAACTGAATTGTACTAAAATTGGATTCTATTTATATGGTATTAATATGAGCATTGGTAATACTGCACTGGCTAGTTACACTAGTTGTGATGATCGATATAGTACTTGTCCTGGTACTGTGTTAGTTAGTAGTACCAACACAGTAAGATATACTGTTAATATCACATGGGATGGAATGACTGTCAGTAGTGGATCAATCAGTCAATCAACCACTGGAGATCAAATGTATCAGTGTGTAGTGGCAGTTAATGATCAACCTAATAGAATTCGTTCTGTAACTATAAAAGGTAACAATTATAGTATTTTAAAATAGTATCTACAATATTTTTAGTTCCAGCAACTGCTCCCTCTTCTCTTACTGAGGTCAGCAAGACAACTACCACTATTACTGTCAGTTGGACTGCACTTGATTCATCTGATGCTGATGGATATGTAGTCAATGTCACTAATGACACAGACACTGTGCAGACAGTACAGGTGGAGGGAAGTAGTAATAATGCAATCACACTGAATGGACTGAGGGAACTGACATCTTATAGCATCACAGTCAAAGCCTATCGACAATTACTGGGACCTGCTAGTAGTACAATCCGTGTCTTCACTCATATTTGCCAGCAAGAAGGTATTTTAACTTCAATGTTATTATACTGTACAAGCATTGATTTCTTAGGTATTTATTTAGCTTATAATGGAAACTGTTATCCTAATGGATCATATTTTTGGGATAGTAGTGTCATTGAAGTCACTGCTGCTATATCATGTGTTTTACCTGGTACTAGTCTAACTACTGGTCAGTGGGTTAGAGTTGCTGATCCTGATGATCCTGTTGACTGTAACAGTAATAGTGCCAGTGATCCTTTTCGTTGTATTAATGTCACTTCACCTGCTGCTACTCTAAATCTTTATCTTGCTCAGGGACTAGCAGCAGCTCAAGAAGGCTGGTACAAGTGTTGTCTACCCACTGATTGTTCAGATCCTAACACTAACATCATCTTTGCTAATATATTCAGTAAGAGGAGACTATAATTACTTACTGATGTAATAATTTTCATTTGTAGGATATTCAGAGATAGAATCATTTACTGTTGCTGCTCTTCCTTCTGATATGACTGTATATCCTCAGGAATACAAACTGAATTGTACTAAAATTGGACACAATAGATATGGTATTACTATGAGCATTGGTAGTAGTGCACTGGCTAGTTACACTAGTTGTGATGATCGATATAGTACTTGTCCTGGTACTGTGTTAGTTAGTAGTACCAACACAATAAGATATACTGTTAGTATCACATGGGATGGAATGACTGTCAGTAGTGGATCAATCAGTCAATCGACCACTGGAGACCAAATGTATCAGTGCAGGGTAGCAGATCATCCTGATGCTAATGCAATTAGAATACGTAATATAAATATAAAAGGTAAGCTGAGATTATAACTTTTTCTTAAAATATTTTCACATATTTAGTACCAGCAACTGCTCCCTCTTCTCTTACTGAGGTCAACAAGACAGCTACCACTATCACTGTCAGTTGGACTGCACTTGATTCATCTGTTGCTGATGGATATGTAGTCAATGTCACTAGTGACACAGACACTGTGCAGACAGTACAGGTGGAGGGAAGTAGTAATAATACAATCACACTGAATGGACTGAGAGAACTGACAACTTATAGCATCACAGTCAGAGCCTATCAAGAATTACTGGGACCTGCTAGTAGTACAATCAGTGTCTTCACTCATATTTGCCAGCAAGAAGGTATTCAACTTTAATATAAACATACTGTATAAGCATTGTATCTATAGGTATCTATTTAGCATATAATGAAAACTGTTATCCTAATGGATCATATTTTTTTGACAATAATATCAATGCAGTTACTGAAGCTATATCATGTGTGTTACCTGATACTAGTCTAACTACTGGTCAGTGGGTTAGAGTTGCTGATCCTGATGATCCTGTTGACTGTAACAGTAATAGTGCCAGTGATCCTTTTCGTTGTACTGATGTCACTTCACCTGCTGCTACTCTCAATCTTTATCTTGCTCAGGGACTAGCAGATCAAGAAGGCTGGTACAAGTGTTGTCTACCCACTGACTGTTCTGATCCTAACACTAACATCATCTTTGCTAATATATTCAGTAAAGAGCTAGAAGATTTACTGATGTAATAATTATCATTTGTAGGATATTCAGAAATAGAATCATTTACTGTTGCTGCTCTTCCTTCTGATATGACTGTATATCCTCAGGAATACAAATTGAATTGCATTAAAATTGGATTTTATTGGTATGGTATTAGCATGAGCATTGGCAGTACTGCACTGGCTAATTACACTAATTGTGATGATAGATTTAGTAATAATTATTGTCCTGGTACTGTGTTAGTTAGTAGCAACCCCCACACATTATGGTATACTGTTAATATCACATGGGATGGAATGACTGTCAGTAATGGATCAATCAATCAATCAACCACTGGAGATCAAATGTATCAGTGTGTACTAGATAATCCTAGTGGGGGTAATGATAGAACACGAACTTTGACCATTAAAGGTAAAAATACAACCTGCCAATAATGATTATTACTGCTATATATAGTACCAGCAACTGCTCCCTCTTCTCTTACTGAGTTCAGCAAGACAGCTACCACTATCACTGTCAGTTGGACTGCACTTGATTCATCTGATGCTGATGGATATGTAGTCAATGTCACTAGTGACACAGACACTGTGCAGACAGTACAGGTGGAGGGAAGTAGTAATAATGCAATCACACTGAATGGACTGAGGGAACTAACATCTTACAGCATCACAGTCAAAGCCTATCAACAATTGCTGGGACCTGCTAGTACAATCAGTGTACAGACCTTACCAGGTATTGCTACTGCACCTTTTAATGTACTTGTAACATTGTTGATACATTTCTAGTTATTAATTGTATCAATTGGACACTAATCTCATCCATTACACAACTCAGTAACACTCAATATCGTATTGATTGTCTCATAGCTACTGATATAAATCCTTCAACTGATGTTTACTGGTTAGTGAATGGAGTGATGAAGAGTAACTCAATGTATACATCAATTGATGTCCTGACATACAACAACACACTAGTGGTATATCCTGATCCACTGGGAGTGTCAGTTAATGTTACCTGTATAGCAATGATTAGAGGAGTTAACTACAATCAATCTGTGATATTACATGGTATGATTTTGCTTTAA